CAACCCCCTGATCTGCCCTGCTCTGTGTGTGACAGGGGGCGGTGCGCCAACTCCCCTATCAGCCCTACTCTGTGCGTGACAGGGGGGAGCTCCCCAACCCCCTGATTGACCTTGCTCTGTGTGTGACAGGGGGGAGCTCCCCAGCCCCCTGATCGGCCCTGCTCTGTGTGTGACAGGGGGTGGTGCCACAACCTCCCCATCGACCCTGCCTTGAGTGTGACAGGGGGCAGTGCCCCAACCCCCCAATCAGCCCTACCCTGAGCGTGACTGAGGGTGGCATCACAACCTCCTGATCCGCCCTGCTCTGTGCATGACAGGGGGCGGCGCCCCAACTCCCCAATGGGCCCTGCTCTGAGCCCAACCAGGGGCTGCACCTAGGGATTAGGCCTGCCCTCTGCCACCCGGGAGCAGGCCTAAGCCAGCAGGTCATTATCTCCCAAGGGGTCCCAGACTGCGAGAGGGCACAGGCTGGGCTGAGGGACCCCGCCTCCCCACCCACCCACCCCCCCCCCCCCGAGTGCACAAATTTTTGTGCACTGGGCCTCTAGTTAATAAATAATAATATAAGGATAAACCCTATATTTTGTGTGCTCACAACTGTAAACCTACCTTTGTCACACCCTATATATACAATGGAGTATTATTTGACCATAAAAATGTGGAATCTTAACATTTGTGATAGCATGGATGGACCTGGAGGGTATTATGCTGAGTGAAATAAGTCAGTCAGAGAGAGACAAATACCATATGATTTCATTTATATGGGGAACCTAAAGAACAAGGTAAATGAATAGACAAAACAGAAACAGACTCATAGATACAGAGAACAGACTGATGGTTGCCAGGAGGGAGGAGGGTTGGGGGACTGGGTGAAAAGGTAAAGGGATTGAGAAGTACAAATTGGTAGTTTCGAAATAGTCACGGGGATGTAAAGTACAGCACAGGGAATATAGTCAATAATATTGTAACAACTATGTATGCTGTCAGGTGGGTACTTGAAATAGCAAAGGAACACTTTGTAAAGTAAATGATTGTCTTAACACTATGATGTACACCTAAAACCACTAAAAAATAATATATTGAATATAAACTCTAATTGAAAAAGATTTTTTTTAATTTTTAAACACCACCTCTCCTGGAGTAGATGTGTGGCACAGTGAGGCAGTGTGGGGAAAGCCTAGATAAGAAGGCAGAAGACAGTCTGTATGACCCTGACGCTCATGCAGGATGTAATGATTCAAGGCCTGTGGTGCAGCATTTGGGGGCAAAAGAGGCTCATGGTAGCAACAAGCTCTCTGGAATTTTTTTAAAAGATGATGATACAACCAACTCACAAGAACTAAATAACTTGCCACCACAAATGCCAAACAGAATCTATTTGATTCAAAGGCATGAAATACATCAAGTTTGTAGCTAAAAGTCAGAGTGAAGTGTGTACATTTTTTTAAACCACAGACTGAACAAAACCTAGCTCACTTATCCTCTTAAGCTTTAAACCAAATCTAAGTGGGTTTAAGTATACAAATTTATGGAAGTATATTCTAGTGTGTCAGGACAGAATCAATTTTATAAAATGGAATCCGGTACTAATCAAATATCAAAATTTGCTCAGAATCAGGCCTAAACAGTAGCTTGAAAATTCAACTCCAATTAGAATAAAGGGAAATAAAGAACTCAAAATTAGCCAATAATGATGATGATGATGATGATGATGATGATGATGATGATGATGTTGGTGATGATGTTGGTGGTGATAATCATGATCATAATACTACTGTACTTCCTGGTACTTGTTCCCAGAGCAATGACATATATCCATGTACCAAGGGTGCACTGATGCGTTCCCCTTGCAATGATCTCAGAACCTTTTACTTGGATAATCTACCTTCTGACTAGTATGAGCTTTGAGAAATGTGTTGAGCTGAAGATCAAAGAGAAAAAGTAGTTACCACATAAGAAAACAGAAGGTAGCTAGTAAACTTGTACACGTTGGTAATTATTAATTGCATTATTAGCATATTGGCCAGAGATTATGACTTGTACATGTGTGATTGGTATATAGGCATTGTTACATGTGCACATGTTTGAATGACACAAATAATTAGCAACTTAAATTAACCAATTTTGTTGGCATATGTTCTTTAAATACTGAAAACCTTAGAGGGAGATAAAAATGTGGACCACCGCCAGTGGGACCAGCAAAGAATGAGTTATTTGTGTCGCTGAAAAATATAGACAAGAGAATAAAAATCACATGTCCAGAATGACATGGAAATTAGGGGTTGGGAGAAGAGGAATGTGTGGGAGAGTAATTTGGCCAATCTTTCTGGAGAAGGTGAAAATGCTAAACAGGAAAATAAAGGGGTTTCATTCCATGCAGCCAGGAGTTTGACAATGGCTCAGATTTCAGAAATGTGACAAACCATGGTCACTTGGCCACAAAGCCTGTTTTCTGTGGTTTCAGATTTACTCATCTGTGAAACATGGGACTTCCTAGCCATTGAAAAGGAACAAAACAGGTGATCCCCGAAAGAATGAGTTGCTGATTCAGAAGCTGAAGAAAGAAAGGACTGTGTAGTTGCTGGCTCCCTCTCCTTCCGCATTTCTGGCCTCAGTTCTCTTCTCCCGCGAGTAAGACTCAAAGCCCGTCCAGCCTGCTCTGCAGTTTGGACAATTTACAGGGAAATTCCTCTAAAGGGCGAATCAGATCCGCTTAGAGGAGCATGAGTTCCTGCAGGCACAATACCCTCTGAGTTTTCTCTCTAGCAGCACAGTTTGAGGCGTGGCCTCGATGTTGACCGCATATTTAGAATGTCAGCCCACGTGGGAATGATTCCTTCCAGTTAGCATGATCCCACGTTGAAGAGTTTAACTTGGATTCTGTTTCTCTCGTTTCATTACTCTTCCCTTTGTCCTACTTTCCCCTGTGGCTGAGAGATATTTTTCCACTTCATTTTGCAGACATGTGAGGCATCTCACTCCCCCATTTCCCCCACCCCCATACTTCCACACATCTGGAAGAGCAATGTTCACATCTGGAGGCCATTCTCATCTGGAAGATTTCTTTTGACATTCTTTTCTTTGAAACTCAATCCATGTAACCTCCTGTTCAAAAGGGCCTCTGAACTACTGGAATCATTTGCAGAGGCTCAGGAAAAAGTCCTTAGTTTTATCCCTATGTGGTGGAATTTATGAGTCAACCCAAACCCAGCATTTTGTTTCTGATTGCTTTTTCTTTTCATAGTAATTATTTTTCTGAGGTTCATGATGAAAAGGACTGGAAGTCCTAACCTAGGTCACATGCAAAAGGAAGATGGAAAGTGAGATATTCAGCAATCACAATGGTGAGTCTGGTTCCTAGCTCTGTGAACTTAAACTAGATAGTCATTTCCTCATCAACAAAATTGGGGTTCATTGTTTAAAACTTGATTAATACCCCCTGCTTTGTTATCTCATAAGATTATGCCAGGATAAGGTGAGATAGCACATCTGTGCATGCCTGGTCTCACCCTGGGTAAGATAAGGATGAAGGAGAAAGGGGAAGAGGCTCCCATCCAGCTGAGACAGTGTCTGCATTTGCACCCCTCTTCCCCCCACCCCATCCCACTCCTCCACCCCCTCCACTGCAACACTGTGGCTCTGTGATGCACCACTGGGCAGGGGAGAGGCAGAAATCTCTGGAACATGAAAGTCCTGCATTCAGCCGCATGCTCTCATTCTAACGAAGTAGAGTGTAGAGTATTTAATTGGTGATTCTCGAACTTAATGTGCATAAAAAGTACCTGGCCATTCTGACAAAATGCAAGTTCTGGTTCAGCAGGTCTAGGGTGGGACTGAGGTTTGCAGTTCTAACAAACTCCCATGTTATACTTAAGCTATTTGTCCCTAGATCATATGTTGAGCAACATGATACAGGGAAGTAGATCTCCAGCCCAAATATTCAACCTCGACAAGCAAGAGAATTTGTCATGTTGGCAGTGTCAAATCTAAATCTCAAGAAGTCAGTCTTCCAAAGGAGAGGCATAGAAGGAAAGGAGATCCACATTCCTAAAATGCACAAAGACTTGTTCAGCTCAACTTTGACCCTCTCCTGCCAGGAGGCAGGAGCCACGTGGCCTTTTGGGTGTGAAGGGAAAACTAACTGCCCTACTTCACCCCATTCCCTGCCCTCAAGTATTTCCCCTCCGAGTTAGGTTTACGCCTAGTAGAGAGAATGCCACAGCTATGGATGGCTGCCTTTGACCTTTAGCAAGTTGCCCATTCCCAGCCAGGAGGCTGCTACAAGAGGAAGAAACACCAATGCTTTTTCAGCTGGGCATCGCCAGCCAGCTTCTCTTGCCCCTGAGCTATGTTGCCTGGCAACCAGAGGGCAGGAGAAAGGCAGGGATGGAAGTAGGTAAGAAGGCAGGGAGAAAATGATGGGAACAGGAGCAACCGGGCTAAAAGCCATCTGAGGGCTCCTGGTCACACAGACACACACCCGACGGGGTAGAAAGTTAACAAGCCTCAGAGGGAGGACACCAGTGGGTGTGAACCTAGAGAGCAGGAGGCCAGAAGTTTATATTCATTTTTTCCATTATATTATTTTTAAAATACGTACTAATAATAAAAGGAGGAGAAAAATAATCCTACTTCTTCGATGAACTGGCAAAGCAGAGGGAAAAATTGAAAGAGTCTTTATGAAAACCAAGGGAATCATTAAAGGGTGTATAGGGGGGTGGGGAGAAGTTGGTAAAAATCCTGTACTAAAAGCTAAAACATGTCTTGAAAAATGGCCAAAAAATAGTTTATAGTAAGCTCTAAAAAGCTGAAATGAGACACCGCCCAGGTGTGGGCTCCTAGTGGCTCTCGAATGAGGCAGGGAAGGGTGATGCCACGTGGCCCACTCGTTGCCACCCACCTGCCACCCCATCAGTGTGTCACTGGGAAGGGGACACCCCAGCCAACAGGAGGGTGTGGGACAACAGACAGCCATTCAGGGACACAGCTAAAGTGTCAGGAAGATTTTTTTATTACAGCCACACTTCTGGAACTTCAGTTTCCTTATAGGTTGAAAGCCTTAATTCAGGCCTGTAAGAGTCTCTTAAATTGTTGAACTGCCTCTGCTCTGGCCTTCCTGTGTCCTGTCATTCCCACACTTTCAACCTTGCTCCAAACTGCCATAGGGATGAGCCTTCTAAACCACAGATGGAACCACGCTGCTCAAAATCTTTCATAGTGTCCCATGGCCAACAAAGAAAATTCCAAATTTCTTAGCATGGCATTTGATGCTTTCCACAGCCTTGTCCTGGTCCACTGTTTCAGAGTCATCTACAGTGACTCCTACCAACCCCCAACCACCCTATGGTCAAGTCATCTAAACCATACTGTTCTCCACCAAGCCATGAACTTTTTCCCTTCCATGCCTTTGCATATTGTTATAATTGCTCATGTGGTTTATCTTCCAAATAAGCCCTATTTTCCATTTTAAAAGTACACAGAAATAGCATTACAATTTTTTCAAAGTAATACCTTCACATAATTTAATTTTTTAAAAGGTGAGGAAGACTTAACATGCAAAGAAGCCATCTCTTGCCTTCCTCTTCCTCCTGCCCATGCCCTCTCCCTCAACTAAATCACCTTTCAGTCTAAATTTTCTCTCCTGGTGGTTACCTTCATTTCTCTAGGAACTATTTCTTGATTTCTCTAAAGTTATTTGTTAATTTAGCAATTTTACATAGCCTTTTTTTTGCATCCTGACTCTAATTAATGAGTGCTTTGCACACATGGAACGTACTGCTGTTTTCATTTTCCCAGTGGAAACATTTCACTTTAAGATAAGTTACAAGAAAAAAAACAACATATGATAAGGAGTAAGAGTTCAGGCTGGGAAGTCAGCCTGGCTGTGTCCTGATGGCTAACTTGCTACTTACTACTGTGTGATCTCAGTCCATTGAACTAACTTTTCTGTGCTTATGATGTCTTCATAGATGGTGGAGGATACAAATTAGTGTTTTCTTCAGCTGTAAAATCTGTACTGGTCTCTCACTAGACCTGCAGCAAAACTGTATCTCTCTTCACTACTGTTCGAGGTTGGAGATACTGCCTCCAGATCCTACATCTCCCTCTAGTTTGCTTTTTACACCCTCATCTTGCAGGAGTGTGTTCTCAAATGACCTTCTTAAAAAGATGTGTAGACCTGAAACTAATATAATATTGTATGTCAACTATAATTGAAAAAATGTGTTAATTATTTTTTAAACGTATAGAAGTAAGCATCGCACCTGTCTGCAAATGTCTTTTCTTCTGCCTTTAAAATTCACAATTACTTTTGCTAGTTATACAATCCTAGTGGAAAGTCACTTTATGCATTCATTTGTTGCTTCTTGCCCTGACTGGGGATCAAACCCACAACCTTTAACCAATTGAGCTACTGGGCCATCCTGGATTATTCTAAGTGTTATATTTTTATTGATCATTTCATATATATCTTTTTCTTTTATTTTTCCTCTACTTTTATCCTCCAACTTTTTAATTAGATTTTTCTTCTTATTTAATTTATGTAGAGTCTTTATAAATATCTCTAGAGGATACAAATTCACTTTATTCAAGCTCCGTATTTACCCAGAATTATCTCTTGTATTCCTTTTGGTCATTTCTCTATTTCGCAGTGTTTCTTTTTCATATATCATAATTCTCTCAAATACCTACTCACTGAGGGGACTGGCAAAACTGACCATTAATTCAGTGTACACCAGCAGGCATGGTTGACTATTGGGCTCCATTTCAGGCTAAGTAGAAATAGACCCAGATGTGGCATTAGCTCCCACACTACTAGTAAGAGCAGCTTGTTCAATTTCTTTAGAGAGGAACAATCCTTCCGCCATGACCTCTGGGTGAAGAAGTAAGGGGGTTTCCACTGTATCTCCTGCTTGTCCACCATCAAATCTATAGTTCTTAGTACTGAGCCCTTCTAGAATTCTTCAAGAAAAATAGCCCTGGACAACTGCCTGCAGAGTGTCTGTCTTCACAGCACCTTCCTCTGTGTACCTCACTTCATCTGCCCTCAGTCCTCCTCCTGCTTCCTGTAATCCACATATCACACCATCGTTTATCCTCTGCAGACCTTCTTCACATTCTCTTCATTGTTGAAGTTTGTACCAATTTTCATTCCTTTGGTGTCATGCCATGAAGGCTCAAAAGAAAATAAATGTGTGTTCCAAGAAACCAAAAACAAAAATGACGATTCTGAAAGTTTCCAGAGAAGGTGTAGATCCCCTGAAAAAGAACAGGAGTTCTTAATATCAACAATGGATGCTGGACAAGAGAATAACTGTTTCACTATTGAAAGACAAGAACCTTCACCCTAGAACTTTGACACTGATTAAACTATCTTTGAAATCTGGGGCAATAATGACATCGCAGGACCTATAAACCTCTTTTAATAGTCTCTTGGAAGAAATACCCCAGTAAGAAGAGAAATAAATACAAGAGAACACTATAGGACTTGTGTGCATTGAGAATAAATAAATAAACACTATATACATTTTAATCTTTTTCTGAAAAATGAAGGTTAAAAATGGAATAGAAAAGTAGACTTATGGAGAAGTAGGCAACATGCATAAATGGGAGGATTCATACCTAGACACATTATAATGAAGTGTCAAAATTGGCAAAGAATACATTTAAAACCTTGCATAGATAAATAACCATTATCAAAATTAAAATGGCAATCACTTTATGAGATGAATAAGTATGACCTGGATTCCAAACTGGATAAGAACAACACATACAAAAATTATAGTATCTACATACATAGATATTATTGTGTCTCACATATACAAGAAACTCTTACAAATCAACATGAAAAAGACTGGAAACCCAAAAGAAAAGTGAACAAAACATGGAATACACAATTTAGAAAATGGATACCAAGTATGAGATGAGATATGTATTTCTAGGAAGATCAGGAAATCAGAGAAATACAAATTTTGAAACAGTGACTTACTACTTTATATACATCCAATACACAATGATTAGAAAGCTGAGTAATACCAAGTGATGAAGAAGATTCAAGGAAATAAGACTTATTCATGTATTTCTGGAGCAGCCTTAAACTGGCACAGCATCTCTAGAAAGCAACCGGGAGGGTATTGAGTAAAAATTAAATATTCATATACTTTATGCCAGTAATCCCCCATGTTGGGTCTGTGCTCAGAGAGGCTCTTACAGAGGTCCATGGAGCACAAATATGAGAGTACTTGTCCTAGCATTTGAGACTATCATATGTGAGTCAGTGACTGGCAGCTGGAAGGGTGGGGAAGCGAGGAAGGGGGAAGAAGCAAAATAGGAGTGAAGGTCAGGGGTGAAAGGGAAAAACAAATAACCAAAATAAAACCAGAATGCAACCTTGCACAGCCTATTAATGAACTGAGGAATGTGTTTAACTCAGCTCTCTGCATCTGTCATTCCACGAACCGAAAATCATTGCGTATAAGTAGCTATTTATCACCTGGTATCCTTTTGTGGGTCAAGCACTCTAGGTAGAAAAATAAATGAGCAGCTGCCGCCAGGGTGCTTCACTTGCGTTGATCAAAGAGGTAAGCTGTGGAGTGGACATGACCTTCCAACCCTCCCCCCCCCCCCCATCCCTCCGTTCATCTGGTCTAGTTGAAAACAAGAGAGAAGGCCTCACCCTCTATAAACAAACCCCTCCCTGGCCCTCAGTAATCTCCAGGCTTAGTGTTTCCCACCCAAATCTCATTTCCCTCCGCAGAACTCTTGTGGAGCAGGTTGCTCAACCCCTAAGCAATCCTGCCCACTTCACCTGGAGTCACATTGAAGCAGTGTTGACATTTGTCCCTTGTACTCCCCAAAGTGTCAATGCAGCCATCTCCTGGGTCTGGGGCTCTTGTGGAGAAGAAGGGCAAGATGGAGGCAAGATCCTGTGTCTTCTGGGGGGAAAGAAATTATTTTTACAGCAATTACTTCTGCACCCTTCTAGATAATCAATCTGAACATCTGGAAAAAGAAATCCCACTTCCACAAATAAGGACCAGAATGGGTTTGTTGAAGCAACACAGAAATAGAGAGAAAGCAGCACCAAGATGAACTCTTAAGAGCTGGTAAAGTGACAAGAGACTAATTTTTTCCCCACGGGGATATTGCTGGCATCTTTTTTCTTCCACATATGCCTGCGTCAGCCTTCTCTTTAGAACCAAACCTCAGTTTTTCTATTTTCCCTACATTCCTATTCCATAGATCAGTGATGGCGAACCTTTTGAGCTCGGCATGTCAGCATTTTGAAAAACCCTAACTTAACTCTGGTGCCGTGTCACATATAGAAATTTTTTGATATTTACAACCATAGTAAAACAAAGACTTATATTTTTGATATTTAGTTTATATATTTAAATGCCATTTAACAAAGAAAAATCAACCAAAAAAATGAGTTCGCATGTCACCTCTGACACACGTGTCATAGGTTCGCCATCACTGCCATAGATTCTGCCTCAGCTGGTTTCCTGGTTCAGATACCACTGCACCCTCCTCCGCACCTCTTTCAACCCATCTGGCATGGGGGCCTTCAATTTTGACTTCTCCAGACCACAAAATGGTTTTGAATCCTGTTCAGCTTGCTTTGTTTTCCTCAGCCACCAAAGAGCTGGGCAGTCAGCTATCCTCATAAAGTTTACCCTGTGGACAAAGCGGCGTCCTGAGGCTTTATCAAGAAAAACTACAGAAATGAAAGTTATAGGCCCTGCCCTTAAAGGAATGTGTCTGTGGGTCACCTGTTAAACATAAGTCATTATTCTTGGCACTTTTATAGAGTACACTTATAGTACATTTCTTTCTTTATCTTCACAATGACCTCAGCAGTTAAAGCCCCATTTTCTGTTTTCCAAATGAGTAAACGGAGCCTCTCAGACATGGAAGATGTGCCTCAAGTAACAGCTGGTACGTGACAAGACCAGCGCTTCTGACCCCAAGCCCAGGCACTTTTCACAATACCAGCGTTGCATTCAAAAGAATCTGTCCTGCTTGGAAATACAGAGCCCTTGGCCTTGAAATAGACTCAAAGTATTTTCAAAAGAGCATGTCAACAAGAACAAAGGCACGATTAAATGAACTCTGAGCTGGTATGTTCTGGTCTCTTCATGGAAAGGAGGGGTTCAACAGCAAACACTTTCTAAAGGGAGACACCTTGGAAATCCAGTTGAAAGAACAGAGAGCGGTAGATTGTCCAGGAAGAGAAAATAAACTTGGAACAAGCATCTTCTCTTGAGGTTACTCAGACATTCCTACTGTCACGGAATGGATTTTCTATTCTGTCTCCCAGAGAAAGAGGAGTCGTGATGAAACGTGACAGGGTGGACTCAGGTTAGACGGCACAAAAAATTGTCTCTGGCAATGAGGGAGTTAAATACCAAACTATTTCATTAAAGGAAGTGGTGAAATGTAGATTCCCCCCCCCCCCCCCCAGATGGTTTTAGCTTACTCCTGTTGGAGACGGGAGATGGAATACATGAGCTCTGGAAACCTCCTCTGAAAATGGCAGTTCTGCAGCTGTAAGATAACTTTACTGTACACGCATAAAAAAGGGTTCAGGGCAACCCGGATAATGACAAACTATTACTCAACCCCAGGCCCTCCCAGAGAGCTCCTGCAGAAGTTTTTCTCACCTTTCCTCCCTGGTTCCCATACTCCAACAAGCATGAACCAGAAAAGGCCTGAGTCACCAGGGCACGTGACTGAAAGTGCACAGGGGCCCCTCCACACTTGGCACAGCCACATGAAACCGAAGTCACCGTGCCCTGCAAGCTGAGGAGCACCAGGCAGTTACAGGCTGGTGTCGGAAATCATCCCAGGGCTTCCTTCCCGCCACTCGAGCTTTAGAAAGAATTCTTGCCTGTGATTCACTTCCAAGGCACAATGGCCTGGCTATAAGACCACTTGCTGGCCCTGTAAGTTATCATGTTCGCATCTGGGGTCTGCCAGAGGCTGCTGACCCAGGATCCCCGAGGGAAATCCCAGCACCACTCCCTATGTTAGCCATCCTTCACTGATTTTTCACAGAAGAGGACGTTTGCAGTGGCTTCTTCCCTGCTCTCTGGCTGCTGTTCAGGAATGTGTCAGTCAGTTAGTCAGTTGAATAGTTGGATAGTTAGTTGGTGCATTGGTTAGTCAGTCAGTCAGTCAGTTTTGCAAATAGCACCAGGGCAAAACACACCTCCGAGAAAACGATGTTCATAGATCCATTCATGGTTTCACTGCCCCTGCGGGAAATCAGAAAAGGCCTTGAACAGGAAGTTCACACAAATAAACGTCTCTTCCTGCTGCAATGATTTCCATTCTCCCAGAAACTAAGTTTAGTCAGACCTTAGGATTCACCTAGCAGCCTCATCGTCTTCCAGGAAAGGAAGCCCGAGCCCAGAGAGATGAAGCGACGCGCCCAGGGTCATACAGCTGGTCAGTGCCCTTCACCTGGGAGGGGACCAGCACACATCCACGGAAGGAGGGGGAAATAGGCCATTTCTTTTTTGTGTTTCAAGTAATGGGGTTTGTCTAAGATTGACAAGTATAGTTTTAGACATTTCTCCCTCCTGTCCGTGTCCCAATCACCAACATCACCACACACACGCACCCACACACATGTGAATTGTCTGCTCTACTGCTTCTAAGAACTCACTAAGACTTTGGTTTCCATCACAATATTTTAAATTTATAGGCACCATCAATTCCTTTAGCAGAACTGGGACTGGCTTCCTGACCCACAGGAGGTGACTATCTGTAAGCTCAGGCTGCATGGCAAATACAGGTATGTTTCCATCCAGGTCTGTCATCTACTTTTTCCCCCATTCTTCCCTCCCAATTCCCAGAACCCACCTCTTCAACACCAAAATGGATCAGACAATTGTAAAAAATGTGGATGGTTGAAAGAGTTGGGGTTTTCAAATTAAAAGGCCAAGATATGCATTAGTGTCATGGCCTCACTCAAGACATTTAATGATTGGCATCTTTAAATTGGGGACAGTAATGCCATGGTGCCATGAGAATGAAATTAGATCATATTTTGGGAAAGCCCTTTTGGAATTGTTGAGAGGAAATGTAAGGGATGTTCATGATTGCCTCCAAGCTGCCCTATGCTTGACCATGTTGCAGAGTTCACAGCCCAAAGGAAGGGTGTTGGCAGCTGGGCTGGGCCAGAGGCAGGGCTAGAGATTAGAAATGTGGTGTTCTCCACCTGTGTACACAGGAAAGAGCCTCTTCCCACAGTCCTCAGAGGGGCCACGGCTAGGGCACACTGTGGCTAGGGCCAGCTGTGAGTATCATCCCAGAATGCACTGCTACTGCTGGTCCAGGTCAGCCCCCAAAGCTGCCTTTTTTCTTCTTCTTTTTTTTCTTTCTTTCTTTTTTTTTTTTTTTTTTTTCTGTTTTTGGTTCTCATGGTTTCTGTAGCATTTTAAAGAGGCTTATCACTACTGGCCTGGCAGACAGACAACTTGCTTTAGGGCAACAACTCATTTTTTTCCCCAGTCTGAGCTTGTACAAGTAGAAAATATTGGGGATGTGGACACCTAGAGTAATTCACTATTACCCCATGTCTTTCTCAAGCACTGTTTTCCCTTCCCAGTCCAATAGCTTTAGCAGTCTTGACAAAAAATGATAATCTCCTATCTGACTAAGAAAAATGCCTGACCTTCCTTCTCCATCTCAAAAGACTTTGTTCCTTCCAGAAAGAGCATCCTCTTTTACTCAAGGTAACCAGCCTCGCCAACTATTTCATCACTTCTTCCTGAGCCCTCCTCCTTGGGTAAGCATGGCCGCCTCTACCCAGCAGCACCTTCCACTTCTCTCCACAGATGTTTTTTCCTCTGTCTATGAGCACGTGGAGACTTCTAATCATTTGAAAAATGTTCCTTAACATTTGTTTCACTATTTACAATCCTATTTTTATGTTCTTTCCCTTGTCACACTTCTTAAATCAGTATCTATACAAGCAGTCTCTTTTCCTGAAAACAGTGTTTTTCCCCACCTCATGCTTTCTAGAAACTTTACTTCCAAAGGTCATCAAGGAAATGTCTAAAGATCAATGACTAGTTTTCTCTGCTCATTCTTCCTCTCCAGCATTTGTGTTCAGTGGAGTTCGCTCTTCCACGGTATCTGTGGCAGCACCCACCCTCATATGTCTGTTTTTCTGCCTGCTCCCATGTCCTCTTTGTCAACTCTTTTCTGTGTCCTTAATGCAGACATTTGTCAAGATTCAGTTCCTGGGGCCTCTGCTCTTCTATTTATTTTCTTTCCCTTGTTAATTTCATTTTGAAAATGTATCCAACATCTATATCTCTATATATGACTACTCCTACCCCAAAATGCCTATTAGATGTTGTCTTCCTCAGGGTCTTCATGGTGATTTGATATAACTAAAATTAAATTCATCATCTCTCTGGCTTCTGCATTTCTGTTAGCAATTCAACTTCTCTCTTTACTAGTCACTTAGGGGCTAGACTTAAAAACCATTACTAATCCCTCTAGTTCTCTCATCCCCATATGTTGTCAACCACCAAGTCTAGTCAGTTCTTTCTAAAACCTTTTCAATCTCCTTTCCTTCTTACTCATTTTATCCCTATTGACTTAATGCTCACAAGTTCAGATAATTTATTCTTTTAATCATTCATTTAACAAATGTGTATTGAGTGCCTATTCTGCACTAGGCTTTGTGTTAGAGCTATGTAAGCAAAAACAGATTCAGACTGCTTGTCTTCCAGCAATGGACTTTATAAAGTATATAAGGTGCCCAAGATAATACTAATGAGTATACTAGTATAACTACAAATTGAAATGAGTATTCCGAAAAAGAACACACTTTGGGTTGAAACAATAAGTATGAGTAGAAGTTGACTAGAAAAATGGACATGGCATGCTGACAGAAGAAAGTTACTGACAGAATAATTTATTCAAAGACTCTTGCATTAGAAGGAACATAGTAAGTTCAAGAAACTGAGAATTCAGTGAGGCTGGAGCTGAGAGGGCAAGGGGTAAAATGAGGCTAGAGAAGAAAGAAGGGAAAGACATGTCAAGCCTGGTCAACCAGGGTAAGTTATTTGGTTGGACTCCATCCTAAGATTGATTGGGAACAAATAAAGAATTTACTACTAGTCACTTTAACGCAGCAGTGGTCTCCTGCCTGAGATCCTGGATTGCCCTACTCCAGTCTGTGCTGCATGTCCATCACAAGAGTTTTCATAAGATAATCTTCCAACCTATCTAGTTCTACTTCCCAAGACCAGCTTACAAAACTTGTACATTACAGCCAACTGGTCTACTTTTTGACTCTGGGCTTTCCTGACTCTGTGCTTTTGTTCACCTCCCTCATCTCTGCTTTAATTACCATCTATTATTCCTCTCTACCTCATGACTACCCATCATTGAAGGGATCATTTAAATACATTGTTTTCTGGAAACCAGAAATATCCTGATCATCCTAACTTATAATGGCTCTCCATGTGCTCAGCAACCTTGATACTTGCCACTTACACATTACAATAGCCTGGGCTTTAGAACTAGAAAGTCTTGGTTTAGAACACATCGGTTAATTCTCAAAGCCTCAGATATCTATAAATGGATAAAACCTTTGTATGTATAGGGTTAGTGGGAAATTAAATTAAAGAGTACATTTATAAAGTATCTAAAAGAGTAATTGTCACATAGAAAACATTGAATACTTATTATTCACTGTTAGCTTAACATATTTTTCTTGGTAATAATGTTGGCAAGAGTATGATTCTATGAACACTCATATGCTGCTGGTAAGAGTATAAATTACTACTAATATTCAGAGAAAACTATTTGGCAGATTAAACAAAAAATTGTCCATAATTTTTTATGTTGTAATTATACTTCTAGGTATCTATCAGAAACCAAACAGGAATGTAATAAAAATTTGTGTTCAGAGATGTTATTTGTTGCATTGTTTACAATAGAAATACACACACATAAACATCCAAAATAAGGGAATGAGTCAATAAAGTGTAAATTATAATTTATCTGTGAGATGGATAGACTTCCACATAGTCATTCATTTACAATGATGTTTATAAAGAATTTTTAAAGCTTTTAGAAAAAAACTGCGATGTAGGATTAAGTGGCCATATAGGGTATTGATGTGTTTTATATTGTTACCCAGCTATGGAAATATACATAGGGGTCCTCATTATCCACATATTTATTATCTAAGTCTCCAGAGTTGCAAAATTTAATGAGTTGAGAGGGAGTTTGGAGAGCTGCACAAATTACATGCAAGGCCTCTAGAAAATAAGGATCTGGAGAGTTAGATCAATAAAAAATTGAAGAGAAAGTTAACGTGGATGACAAGATGGGCCATACAAAAGAGAATGATCTGACTAGTAAAGTATTCTGAGAGGCTATTGAGGAAATTGATGAGCTCTTCAAACGTTTTTACAAAATTGGACTGCTTTATGATTGTGTTACAAAGTAATCCAGTGTGAAGTGATGTAGTATTTAACTACATTTTTAAAGTACCTCCTGACCCCTTTTCCCATCATTTTGATTGATATTTTCTTCTAAGAATTGGTGTATAATTGCAAGTATAACCTAAATTGTATTTAAAAGGCTTATAACAAGATTATTTATGTATTTTATTACATTATCAAGATTAAAATTATAATTAATCTTTTAAAGAACTGTTAAAAGACAAACTGAGGCATATTAAAATTTTTAAGAGTGTATTTGAGCTACAATTGATTCAAGTCAAGCAGCACCAAACTTGAAGTAGTCGGGAGCACCCCAGGGATAGGAGTCAGGGGAAAGACTTCTATAGATAGAAGCAAAGCAAGGAAATTACTTAATTGGCTATAGCTTAAAGCCTAGTTGACTGTCTGTGATTAGCTGTCCTTAGTGTTTTGATTTCTAACCTTGAGGCATTTACAGGCTTAGATTTTGGTTTGCTTTCGTAGACTGCCATGGTATTAGAGCCACCTCAGTCTCATGGCCTCCTTGTTTAGTTAATTTAACACCACTTATGAACTTTGATTCCCATTTTCATTAATTAACTTCAGATAATTCTTGGTTAACAAAGATTTCCTGATTATTATGCATATAAAATTAAATGTAGAAAGGTAATGTCCAATAGAAACATAATGTGGCTCAGTTGTGTAATTTATGTGAAATTAATTGAATAATATGTTGTATTTAAAACAATTATCCAAAATATAATAATCTCAAGATGAAATCAATATAAAAATTATCAATGGGATTTTTTTATTAAATCTCCAAAATCCAAGTCTATATTTGACACAGTAGATCTTGATTTGAGCTAACCATATTTTAAGCATTATATAGCTCAGGTCTAGAAGAAAATGTATCAAAGTGTTTTTCAAAATATACACAAAATGGTTATGTATAAATAGTAGAGGGATTTGATGTGAGAAATTACTTTCATAATTTAAACTTTTTTAACTTTGGCACTTAAGTATCCCATATTTTTAGCTTTCTTTTTTCACTTATTAAGGATAATATTTTTCTATATCTCTCACTTATGGCTTAGGTATTTAAATAATACATTTTTTTCCTACTTCTCATGATGTTCTTTGCTAGTTGCATTTCATTTCCTGCTTTAGCTTTTCTGATTTTCTCAGCAAATTATTTCCACTTTTTCCATCCTTTTCACAGGTAGTCTGGTGAACTTCCACTTCTGAGATCATTTTAAAGGAACCTGGCCCAGCCAAGTTAATTTCTTTCTATCCTTCCTGGCTTTCTCATGGATCAAGATCATTTTTTCTTGTTATTATGAAACAA